GTTCAATATCGATACGAGTATCGTTGCACCCCTAGTATATACATACTTATGTATGTATGTATGTATGTATATATATTACACGCCTTTGGAGCAGAGGATTGCAAGTTCGATTCCCGCCTGGGGCGTCTGTATCCAGTAAGGGTCCTAAGGCTAGACCCCCCATCCTAAGCGAGCCTACCGCAGATATGAGCGAGACAGATAAATATGAAGGCTTGCCGGCTCAGACGTCGCCCGGATCAACAAGGTCCGCGTCAGGTGTTGAGGAACCAGGGCACCCTGACGAGAAGTGGGCTACTGGAACAAGAAGGCATCGGTGGGCAAGACACGAAAACAGGGCGTTGTTGGTTGGAATGGTCTGCTCGATGTTAATGCAGCACTACGGATGATACCTACAGCCACGCTTACCGAGACTAACAAGCTGATCTACAATACGGCAGCAGTGATCAGTGAGATGCTTGGCTATAAGTTGAACAGCCACAAGGGGCAGTACCCTCCATGGAGAAGGAGGCTAGAGGGCAAGATCACAGTAGCACGGAGGGAGGTTAGCCAACTCTGGGAGTTGCAGAATGGTGCGACAAAGAAGGGGCCTATAAAGTACAGCAAGGTGTCCATGCCTGAGGCCTTGGAAACTGCCAAGCAAAGACTCACAGCCTTGGCCAGCTCCTTGAAAACGTAATCGGATCTAATATATCTACCTATAGATAGATAGATAGATAGATAGATAGATAGATAGATAGATAGATAGATAGATAGATAGATAATTAAACTTTATTGGATTTTTCAGGTCAGCCTGTTAATTGGGCTGACAGTGACTCAGTCCAGGCTCTTATGCATTCGGCTGACAACCGTGGCAATCGTGTGAATAGCTACAAGAGACAAAAAAGCCAACATTATGAAGTCATTTTGACATTCAAGTCACACATATACACTTTGCATGGCTACAAGATATATGAAGGCAGCTGTATTTAAAAGGGCAACTGTGTCCCTGTCATGACAAAAACATTTCCCTGCACTTAAACACTCAGAAACCCATACACGTGTGTGTGTAAATATGCAGAATTGGATGTGACATGTCACTATGATCTAACATGCTATGACTAATTCCTACATGATGGCTACCCTTAACAGTGCAAAAGACCCAGCAGTAATAAAGTTTGAGGACCGTCCACCAATCAAGCTGTGCAGTTGCTTTGGATGTTAGCCAATATTCGTACAGAAAACCTATGATCTGGTGTATGCTCATGCATGATTATCAGTTCTATGTTGCAAAGCTGCTTCTTTTTGTTGTCAGTTCTTCCTCTTTTTATGTAGTATTAGGAAAACTTGAGATTCAGTCAATGGCTTGAAAAAAATAGAAATAAAATACTGAAGGCGTTATCTAAGAATCTGTCAGTTAATTGGCTGTGGCTCCAATAGATGGAGATGATTATTATTATTATTTTAATTGAGTCAACCATTCTCTGAGGTGTGTGAAGCGAACAGCAAAACCTCTATAAACATAGGATAAACTTGCTAAAGAATGGTCACCATGGGATCACTTCTGATTTATGGAGTAAACACATGACACTGTAAAGGATGAAAAGAAGATTAAATGAATAATCACAAAATTAGTCACCTTCAGAAGTATCCCATTGTAACCATGCTACAGAACCAGCGTGGGGGCAGGTGTTTAACCGTCTGCAGGCTGAGTCAATCACTTGCCACACTGCTTGATTGTAGCATAGTGATAGAACAACGGCAGTAAATCTGTATTTTATGGAAGCGAAATAAAGGTTTAAAAGATCTAGTAAATCTTTACGTGTTCGAGGGATAATTAATGAGAGATTGCGTGTCTGTGGTGAAATACAACATTAACACTGGAAAATTGTCAAGCGTGTAATGACATGAACAGAGCGCTTTGCTAACAAAGAGATATGCACTGTGGGATCTGGGTCTACAGAACTATGTAGAATTATATTTGTCTGAGTGAGCAGCAATGGGGGACGTTTGCTGACTATCTTGGCAGCTTTCAGAGAAAAGAGCATGCCATCAGGAGGTGTTCCTTGTCTGGAGCATGTGGAGAGATAGTCTGTCCGTCTGGACTGTCAGCCTGACTGATGAGAGCAGTTATCAGCACATGTGTGTGTGTGTGTGCATGAACAGAATGTGCGTACATAACTGTGCTGACAGCTACCTGGCAGCCAGCACTTTCAGGTGTTCAAAAAAAACGTAGAATACAAGGCCTTCAAGAATTACTTTCTGGCCCAAACTGCACCTCAGATTTGCACTGTGGAAGCAGCTGCGTGACAACATGAATCATTTTGTCGACTGTTTGCCTAGTTAATCTTATCGAAAGCATTAAAATAGAGGTGATGAATTAGATTAGGTTTTGCAAGTGTGTGCAAGTGTATGTATACCTTGGGCTGGTGCAGGAGCGCTCTCTGTACATGACACCTCCACCGCAAGTTCTGGAGCAGTCAGACCACTGAGACCAGGCTGACCACTGGCCGTGCACTGCTCTAGGACCATGCTCTCCATACTTAACACACTGACCCCTCCGACACCACTGAAGAAAAGAGTAGGAAGGAAATGAAAGAGAAGACGACAACAGAAATAGCATTCTTATCAGTACTTGAGTGTTGGCCCTGGCATCTCGCCTCTGTTTCCTGGTCTGGAGAAATGCCCAGCACCACACCTGGACATAGAGACTCTCTATCTACAGCCAAAATGCACACATACACATGCACATCTATTGTGCAGCAGACCTGGGTTGATCCAAGCCAAACCCTCCACTCACACACATCACCGCCTTTCACTCTTTCTAAATATCATGTTTCTGTGTGTACAAATCAACTCAATCCATTTGGGAGAGTAGTGCCCAAAATGTGCACCCATGCATGTACGAGGAGCATCGATGGTTACTTTGTCTGATTTATTTAATTATCTATGATCAAAGAAGTATTCAAATAAAAAAAATGCAGTTTGAGCTGTCATCAGTTTGAGCTTAAAGTAAATCCTTGCATCTTTTTAAAGCTCTTTTAGGATTTTTTTTCTAAGATGAAAGGATTTCGTTTGACTCAATAAAATGCTAATTATTAGGATGCTAAGCAGGAGAATAACATTCTGACTGCTGTGATCTTTCATATAAATAAGGAGACCATTCCTCACCATGTCAGGGCCACAAGTGGTACCTTCTGCAGCAGGCATGAACTTGGTCTCACACCGATGCCCTGTGCGATGACACCACAATGACTTGCAAATGTCCTGTCGAATGAGACACGCAAAGAATGAGACATCCATCAAACATGGGGTTTGCTGCTGTTATTATCCGTGGCATCTTTTGGTTAAGAGTTCCTTTCCTTTTTCTCTTCCCTCTACCTGATTTTTGCCAGGACCACCATCACTTTGCTTGATAAGCCCCCACTGCCTCTGACAGACTTCTCCACAGTGCTTCTGTGTCGAGACTAATCATTGAACTTCTTTAATGAAACCGGCTATAATTGTATGTGTCATCTGACCCAACAATACAGAGACAGAGCAAGCGAGTGAGCACAGAGGGAGAGCTGGGGTCGAGAGACAGGCGGCAGAATCTGGCAACTGGCCCAACTGCAACTGGCAACGAGAATGGAATCAGAAAGGAAGGAGTGAGGAAGCAGGACAGACAGCTCCCTGGTGTGTTCAAGACTTAACCTTATGCAGATCTACTTCACTGACATAGAGCAGGTGGCATCATGCTGAAAGTCCTTGTACATGATAATGTCAGGGTCAAGAAAAAAGAATGAAAAGTGTGAATGGAACCCTCAAATCCACTGTTAATCAGCATGCAGGTTAATATACCACCTGCCAACTCCTACACAGGTCTAAGAAATGCAAATATAGTATTTGATCTTTTATTATGGAAACACAGGAGGAATCTGGGGAAGTCGTGAACAGCCAAGACGTCGTCATGTGGGCTAATGCCATATATACGACTTGGCAAAGTCAATTTCCCAGCAATTACAGCCATGCAAGAAGAAAAGCTTGAGGCATTTTAAATAAAATTTACATGTGAATCAACATCACTGAATGCACCTAGCATAAAGCCTTATACCAAAACAACAAGGGTTTGATGCAGACTGGGGTGGTGGTATAGGGACCCATTCAAATGATGGAATGCATTTTAATGAAGGTCAAATGTGTGTGTGTGGGGGGGGGGGGGGGGGGGGGGGGTTAAGGTTGCTGATGTAAAGATTGTGCTAGTTAATAAAGTGCCAGTTTAGCACTGGATCATTAAGTCTGTAAAGCAGATAAATTCCAGCTCCTATATGGTCCAGGGGTGCCCCCTTCTCACTACAAGGAACTGTAGTGATTCTCAGTGTTGGCAAAGAAACATGTGAAAAGTAAATGATTAAGGACTGTTGGTCCATGTAGAAATACAACCATGGATAGCCCATGGTTAACACTTCTTTCTTTAGTGTAAGGAACTGTTGTTTGTTTCCTGGTCTGGGCTGTTATCAAATGAAAGCTATAATAAATCACAATCGTTAAAGCCAGAAAAAATATGTTGTTGTTTTTTAATTCCCCCAGCAACTCAGCATCGTGTGCACCGCATGTTACAACTGTTTTTGCAGTTGCAACATGTTGGGGGAAAAAAAGGAAATGGAGATCGAATAATTCTGACAAATTAGGTGATTACTTTACCTTGACGAAATCAAGACTGCATAGTTTGGCTTTGGAGCCAAACTGCCATTTGCACTGTGTGTCTGCTCCATAAAGCTGCCCGGGAAGCTCTTCAGGATACTTGTACTGACCGATCTGCTTGGGTTCATCCACTAAACAGGATGCCTGGGCTGTTCTGGTGAACACAGAACAGTACCTGTGTCAGTAAGGAGGAAAGCCAAATGCATGACTGGTAATTTTAACAATCTGCATTAACTGGGCTTACCCAAGAAAGCGGCTAAGGTACTGCCGACTGCAGGTGGACCAGGAAAAGACTCCATTGTTACCAGCGAGAGTAGGGGACATAATGTTACCCTCAGTCTTACGGCAAGGGTTTCCCTCCCCATCATGGATCATACCAAAACTACAGAAAATGAAGATAAGAGACTTCAGTCGCAATGAGATATACGGTAAATACATGGACTTGCATGTATTGTAAGCTGTTTGTGAGTAAAGGGGAAGTTTATGATAATGATAATTCACATTTTGATACTGAGACAAATTATAAAATGTTACAGGATTTTAAAGAAAATGAACATGAATTCTTTAAATTGGCTTGATTTCACTCATTCTGATAGATTTCTATGTAAAGACCCTGCTGATGTCATTCAATTTGTTGTAACAGTTTGCTTCATACATTGCAACATTTTCTCCCTTCTTTGATTCATTACCATGTCATATGTTTGACACTTATGCCGTTTTCAAATTGTCAGTGATTAATAGCTTTAGGATACTTATGTGTATGGATATTTTGACATATTATTACCCAGGTGAATACATTTAATTCATAGTTTGTTTTAAGAACATATGAGGCACACAGAAGAGTTTTACCGCAACATGACATCTACACATATCAAAAATAAACTGCCTCCAGTCCCACCGGTAACGTATAAATATAAACACAGAGCTGTACTGCCTTGGGTAGTTTCCATTATTCTCCCATAAAATGTCATGGAGTGGATGAAGTAGGGGTCTAACGTAATGCTCTTATTTCAGAGTGTGTTTGTTTAAATCAGACCACATCTGTCACTTCAACACAAACTACATCCACAGACAGCATAAAGGCAATTAGGCTGCCCCTTCCAAAATGACATTACATTCTGAGACGGTCTCATCTGTTTTAAGTCTGCTGCTCTTTCTTCTAAACATACTTATGTCCAGACTCATGTGCAATGGTGAAAGCCAAGCCAAGTCCTGTATCCTCATTGATCGTACAACTCCTGTACTTACTGCACATGCCACTGATGGGGGCAAAACCTGCAACAAGGAGAGAAAAGTTATTTGAAAATCTGGGCTACTTGAAAATTCAAAAACAAGCAAGATAAAACCCCAAATCTGTATCATATTCTTGTTCTCTTACACTGAGCGCACAATCTGTTCTGACAGTTTGTAAAGACAACAAATATGTGCCACACATGTATCTTCACACACGTGCTTGCCTGGAAGGGGAATCTCACAGAACTGCCAAATGTAACCTCAGATGTCCTGCCCAGTTTAGTTTAAATTAGTTCTTAGACTTTGTTAGCAATCAACACAGAGGACTACTGTTAACTGTGTAGCAGATAGCACCAGCACAGTGACTAACTACCCAGATGTGAGATTTTTCTGTAACTGATAAGCTGATGAGGAATCTTTACTTGGGGTTTCTAATTTTCAGGAAGCAATTTCTTCCAATGGGCCCAAAAATATAATAACCAACGTCAATATTTAGTTGTCAAACATAGCTTGTTAGTCTCAGTTTAGAGAACATTGGTTGGATACATGCAAATTATTACAACTGTGAGCAGCTGCCTTTAAACTGGTTGCTTCAAAAATGGGGACCATCTTTGTGACCATTCACAGACAACTGAAATCTTTAAAGTGAACTTGGTGTCTCAAGACAGCAATAAAACAGTTTGATAATATGGAAATTAAATGAGATAACTCAGTGAAAATTGCAAATCTGTAACGTACACAGAATTTCCCATTAAACAGAAATTCCCTTTGGTATTGTGCCAGGAAGGGAATCAAGCTACCTGCTATGTTGACCCCTTATAATAAAGGAGAGTCCAGCGAGAACCTTGAAGATTTGGAACATAAATTTAGGACAAATATTGAGGTTGAAGGTGAGTATGCTCAACCTCTGGGTGACCAGTTGGTGGTCATAACTATTTGTAACTAATTGTAAGGAAGTTGCTGTCCTATTGTTAGTCCAGGATGACTGAGCCATTAGAGCAAAAGAGACAGATTTTAAACATTAACATTAATGGTTCAGCTTTGTTTTTCATTTAGTTAAAATATTTTTGGTTAGACCCTACCTTTTTTTGTTACAGACAACTTTGGCAGGATATTTTTAATGAGCTGTTTTTGCCTGAAGTGACAGCTCAAGTTGGTGCTTATACTTCAATCTGTTGACTTTCTTGCATATCAACCCCCTTCTCCTTCTGCATGTGTCTGCATTCATACTGTCACTAGTTTTTTATGGCACGGCTTAATACTCTAGTAAAATATAGGGTTTGCTCATAGTGACAAATGACTGCCAGTCTATCTCTTGACAACTATTTTCGCTTCACCTGTCAGCCCTGTTATAATGTTTGCACCCACAGCATCGCATCTAGGCTGTTGTTAACCAAAATGTGACAACATTTAGCAATGCAAGAGGTTCTTAGTTGTCAGTCGTCCAGACAAAGTCACACTGTTGCTTTTCACATGCGTCTTTAAAAAAAGAAAAAAAAGATCTTTGGCTTGTTAAAGTGAGCTAAGCCCTATCTCACCCAGAGTGTCACAGGGCTCGTTCTTCCAGGAACAAATGTCCAGTCCAGTGAGGAGAACAGCATGATCGTGCTGTTTACCACCTTTCCCCACAAGGCCTGACTGCCATTGACAGAAACTGTTGAGGGACTGGTCAGCGTGATGATTTATGGTCAAGCCCAACTGGAATTGTAGAGAGAACAATTGAGATTTAGAACACAGCCATGGGTATTTTAATCAGTGTCAAGTTAAAAGCAGCACAGTCAGGCAAGGAGTTAGTGTAAATCTACTTACAGGGTCCTGCTCCAGCAGCAACAAGCTAACCACCACAATGTTGATATCATTCCCAATGGTGCCATCTTTGAAAAGGCTGGAAACCTGTAGATTAGTTGAAAATACTTATTGGTAACATTTTTGCAGAAAATATAGAGATAAAAAGATTATGTATGTGTGCAACAAAGTCTCTAAAGGCGGACCTGAACCACTGATAGTGTCATTACATAGGTATGCGTTGAAACCAATCTTCTTTGGGGAGAAACATAAAATGATTGAGTGAGGATTTGTGTCCACTGAGAGTTGTAGTCAGACGTTCACATTCACCATTGCTATGAGTGTCATGGTAATTTGTGACGGCATTCCAGAAGCTTGATCTTAACTTTCATTATCCAATCTAAAACCATTTCTGATGTGTGTTTGGGATCATTCTTCTGTTGAAATACCCAACTGTCTCCAAGTTTCAACCGTCCAGGTGATGATCTGATGATCTGAAGTGAATTTAAAGAATTTGGAAGTAGTCCTCCTTCATTTATTTTGACATATCCTAGTTCACACTTAAAATGAACAGAGGAAAGTGGCAAAAAGTTGCATTCAAAGTTGCAATCAAACAAATATCACAAACATAAAGGGTTAGAAAAGTTTTTGCACTTTTCTCTGGAGAAACGTTGCAAATTTGAATGCTTATAAAGTTAGCTTAGCACTTGTGTCTTCCCTCGCAGGAAATACTGATCTGTTGAGATCCTGCTATGTTGGGTAAATGAACAAGAGCTTTGAAAAACACAAAATTTCGACAGATTTCCTATGTGTAATTGAATGATTGCTACCTCATATGTTCTGTCACACCTTGTCTTTCCAACACTTCCACTCCCTTGTCTTTTTCAGCCCTACCATATTCATAACGGTGAGGACGTAGGTGGTGACATTCTCCCTGCCATGTTTCTCCAGCATCTTCCTGTCTGCCACAACCAGGGTCTCCACATTCAGACCTCCCACCCTGTTGGAAATGGGTGATCTTTTTTCCCTCCCTGGACCTTCCACCTCAGGTACCGCAAACTCATCAGGCATGATAAAGCGGTCCTCAGCAGGAGGCTTGGGTGCGTCTAGGAGGGCAAAAAGGGAGAGGCAAAAAGGAAGGGAGGAGAGACACAGAAAGAGGGAGACAGCATGAAGGAGACAGACAATGATACTCAGAGATAGAAAACTTGGCAGTGAGGGTCAAATGAATCAACTCTTTGTCCTGGCTCGTGCCAGGTGTTAAAAGTGCGTGCTCTGGTGTTGAAAGGACAGGAAATTCACTCCCCATGCTGCTTCCTATCATCACTAAAAAAACAGCTTCAGGCTAGTGTTGCACTTTTAACTGGACACAACAACTTGAAATGCATGCTGATAAACATATAATGCACTGAAATTGAGTGTTCTCAAATATTTAATACAGACATAAATCATCATAATATATGTACAGTAAGATCAAAAAGTCTGAATACACCAGTGAATGCAGCATAACAATTTGAATGAAAAGCTGAATCCCTGGAAAACTGAATTCCAGAATCTTCCTATGTGGTATGATTTCATCTTACTTTTAGGATAACATGCACACAGGCTTTTTTTAGGCTTTGGGGTCTGAACAAAGTCATTATTCTGCTACATTATGGAGCAGAATAATGATGGGTGTACAGCAACTTTGTCACAATATACTGCCAATATACTGCCAGACTGTGTTTCATGGTGGAGTCGATACTGTAGTATCATTTCTTCTTTATTTTTATCCTCACATACACTGCCACAAATCTCAGACTTTATTAGAAAATTAAATCTTCTATAATCATTCATTGTGAAAGCTGCAAACTTCTAGCCCACTTCAAGTGTTTGGCCTTATTTCCCATCCTGACATGCACTTTAGAGACCCTTTTAATCATTTGAGACTACGACTACACAGCTTTTCTTAGAACAATACTTTTGCTGACTGCAGTCTTGCTTTCTTTATTTAGCTAATTCTGCAACTATTATTAGATTTAGCTTTTCTATCTCCCAGTGAACAGTGTTTGATGTATTAATGTAGTCACATTTGGTCTGCCTGATTGTGTTTTAGATACAACTGATCCAGTTTCCACGCAGCATTTTAGAGTGTAATGTGCTTCCCCCTCAGAAACCTTCAGTCTAGACACAATTTGACACTGGAAAAGAACCCCCTTGCTTGGAATAATTTGACTTGTGACAATTTCACATGGATCTGGTGCCGTGTTGTCCAGTCTCACAATGTTACTTAAAAAGCATTCAGTTGGAAATTTTAGGCACAGCTTTGTCTATAGCAGGTGAATGACGGCTGCAGGTTGATTTACTTACAAGCCTTTGCTGAGCAGATCAAATTCACCTTAGTAAATGCTGCTTCAGCGGAAAGATACAACTTCAGGAATTCTGATCTTTTCTTTTTGATACTGACTTTAAAATAGAGCAGAATCAGAAATATCAGAATCAAACCCACAGCACATACACATACGTTAAAACCTGTTATTATAAAGTGTTATAAACCTCTTTGGTGATGTTTTTTGTTTCAAAATGAGGTACTATATTAGATTATTATTTAGCATTCCATGTTGGTTTCACTTGTTGTATCAGAGCCTTCTTTATCCTGCCAGAGTAAACTCTGAACAGAATCAAACATAATGTTTAATTAGAGATGATAGTAATAAAACATAATCAGTTAGTTGAGCCAATGAGTTAGTGTGTAGTAACATGAAAGCTCAGAATAAATAACAGGAGATTAAGACACAGGTTCTTTACATGACAGTTCACATCTTGTATTTAACTGTTTAGTTTCAAAACTGGACAGTATGTGGCTGGCAGAAAGAATGGATATTTCCTTCACCTTGAACTGTATATTTTAAATACAACAGCAGTAATGTTTAAGAAGTTAAGACTGTAAAAGTGTCCTATTTAACATGCAGCACATAAATATTCTGTACATATGGAAGCCACGCAGTTTAATGGTAAGATGAAACTTGTGTTATGAAAACATTGAATAGCTGAATAGATGTAAAGGATAGAAATGCTTGTCTACCAGATGTTACACACCATATCTCTCTATCTCTATCTCTAGATAGAGAGATAGATAGATATAGATATACATATAATAAAGGAAATGAATTAAAGGTTCCCTTACATACATTGCTTGCGGCGTCCACAGAAGTGTTGCCTCTGCAGCTTTCCATGCTGGTTGTCATGATGCTGCTGCTGTTGATGATAATCATGAAGGTAAGGGTTGCCAGGTCTAGAAGAACTGACGTCAGAGGGGCTTCTGGATCTTCTGTGGACAATGTGCTCTGCTGAGCGCTTGTACAGTACATGCGGGTGATGACCATTGGGGGCACTGTAGTTGTGTTGTCTGGCCAGATGTTGGGGTAGAGGGGCGATCAAATACTCCTCCTGAGACACACGGATCAACCCTGACTGCAAAACACACAAAAAAGTCGATCACAATAAGTAGAAAGGGTTACAAGAAAATTCTTCTAGATAAACTATATAATAAGAGTTAAGACAAAACATATTTGACAGATTTGAACTGTATTTTACAAAGTGTACACACAAATCACCTCTACAATGGTATTTGAGTCCACACTGCCAAGCTTTGTCAAAGCCTCAGTGTAGCTAAAGCAGCTGTTTCCAGAAATCCTTTCTACTGTATCACACATATCACCTCAAGATCCACCCACCACAACCTCACTCATTCTTCGAACCCAAACTCTATCCTAACATTAGGCAGATGTGCACTCTAAGAGTTTACAGATGTTAAGGAGAGAAAAGGTCTTATTTAATTGGAAGACAGAACACCGTGAAATTACTGGTGGGGGGATTTTTTAAAACTGGGATTTGTTTTTAATTGATTTCAACAAAATCTAAACTGTGTGCGCAACTAAAATGAGATCACTCATGGTTAGAGCCTTACTTCAAAATATAATTTACTGAAAACAGACTACATTGCAGCACTTCTTGCTGACATTTGATTTCTTCCTGGGTTTGTTTTTGATATATTATTTGTCCAGTGTACTGTGTGTTTTCTCAAAAGTTTATTGTTCATTCAATTCAAGTCTAACAGGAAATATTTTTGGAACTGATTAAGATAATGGAAGTCAAGTAAGAAAGAGAATAAATCCAAGAAAAAAATAGATCTTTTAGTGCTGGAAATGTTTATCATCTTGGCTTTTAAATGGTAAGTAAAGTGCCTTTTTCTTTACTCTCCTGACACATACTTCTCACATTTTACTTGCGACATGGCGAACTAATGATTTATTTATGTCACCTCTACTTGAAAAGAATATAAAAACACAGGCATGCTTTGAATGGCTGGAGAAAAACTAAAAATGTTAGGATGCTTGACAGGCTTTGTTTGCAGGGTTCCTCCCGAAACACATTATGAACCCAATCCAATTGTCCTGCCTGCCATAATAATGTCAACGCAGTGTTTTGGCGTGCAGTTTTAATCGAGTAGTCTTAACCGGCCTCAGAACGAGAGATCAAGCTACTGAACCTTAAACATTCCGTCTGACCACGGTATTCTACCTAATTCACTCTGCAACTCTACAAATGTACACAGAATAGCTGTGCAATCAGTCAGGCGCACACTCACTGCAATACACTCGCTGACCCAGTGACCTATGGCCTTTTTGTGTGTCATCTAACTCACCATGTGTGTGTGTGTGTGTGTGTGTGTGCGTGCGTGCGTGCGTGCGTGCGTGCGTGTGTGAGAGAGAGAGACAGAGAGAACTAGAGAGAGAGAGAGTGACAGTGCCCTGCTCCTGTTGAACTGACCCCATTCCGCCCAGACTAGCAGGTGGCAAAATAAACAGAGGCTGGACAAAAGGGAAGCCATGGTGAGGCTCTTGTTGTGAAAACAGTGCCTGGATATGTGGCAGACTGCCATCATCAAGCCCATCTATTCATCCATCGAACCATCCATCTCTATAACCATCCAGCTCCCAGTTGATCGCCCAACTGTCCATAAATCTTCTACGTCTTCCATCAATCTTGGTGCAACGTGAAGTTTTACAGGAAGCTAACTGTCAAATTTTATTATCTTGACTATATGTAATGTCCACATGGTCCAGTGGCTGGGAGTTTTGTTCTGCAATCTCAATAGTTTGAAGCCCAGCATATCAATACATGCCAAAACAAACCTTATGCTAGCTACTCCACGACTACTTGCTCCAGCTGTGTTGCACTGCGAACACATTGTGGAAAGAAAATTTCCCTCTGGGTCATGAATAAAATATATCAACTCAAAGAAATGAATTAAGAGAGAGAAAATGCCCTTGGCAAAAATTGACTGTGGCTTCCTAAAATAGTTTGGAATTCAAAACAGAGCTAGAGAAGGTCAAAGGAGGTGTCTCCAATCAGCACACACCGCTGTCGCCTCTCGTTTACCCATCTTTTCATCTGCCTGGCATTCAGCACATACCTGGCCTGCAAAAACATACACCTAATCAAATATTCCTCTTTAAAGATGAAACACTTATTTATTTATTATTTATCTTTTTTTCTCCTTCAATTAAATGATAACAGTTTAATCATGAGTAAAACATAATTTCACATTTTTCCCCACTGAAGCATTCAGAATGCCATAATGTTACAGATGAAAGGTCTCGTTATAATAATGTAAAGCCCTTACCTTACAATGTAAACCAATTCATGATATAAAGTCACCATGAGATGACAAGTAACTTTGTAACCATAAGAATCCTACATTAAAATTAAAGAAACACAAAGATCTGAACTTGATTAGTGCAAAACTCACATCCCTGCTTGTGCTCTGTTTCTCTCTCTCTCTAGCTGCGTCACCAAATCTGCCAGCTCTCCACTTTCTTTTCCAGCAGATAGCAGATGGAAGAGTCTGTGATGATAATGACAGGAAACGAATTCCATCTGCAACAATGGTTAAAATATGGTTCTGTGTCTGCTTGTGTTTTTATCTCAATGTATAGATTGAACTTTCTTTTGTCAGCATGTTTTGTGTTTTAGTGAATACCAAGGTATGACGTTATAGTGGACTCCTAATGTTGGACACAGCTGCCAACACCGCATACACAAAGGAGTATGTTGCAAGGCGTGAGCACTAAGTAAGCAGAGCATAAATAGGCTTTTCAAGCGCAATGACAAGGTGAGAGGTCAGAGAAGATTACTGCGTGTTTACACACTGAAGCTGAGTGTGCTTTTAATATGGTGGGATCATGCTCAAAGCTCATTTGCTCACACTCAAATTCCCATTTTCCTCTGCTCAACCTGCTTTTCTGCTAGCTCTCAGGTTTTTATTGAAAAGAATGTTCGATGGTGCTTTGGACGAGTAAGGACTTTGTTTTGCTAAATTACGGATGTTTGGCTAAGTTCGTAATACTGGGGAGAGTCTACCTCCCCTGACACCCCACAAACCTCTATTGGTGTAATAATGGATATATTAAAAAGCTGGATATAACACTGAAAGTCTGCTTTGTTGCCAAAATTTTCCCAGTTGTCTTTTGCTGCCCAAAACTCTTCTGCAGCTGAAAAAGAATTTTCCCATAGACCACAATAAGAAAAGACACCTCCGACTGTAACACAGGCCATTTTTTTCTCCCTTTCTATTATGAATTTTTGATCCGCGGTGGTTTCATATTTGTAAAGCTTTGCCAACGCCTACAAAATTTTTGCTTGGTGTTCTTGACATCATCACAAAATGCAAACTTTATGAGATTAGTTGGAATCTACAAGCAGGCCAGTGTATGAGCAGTGGGCAGAATAACACTGAAGCAAAGTCTTTTTTGGTCCATTTTCCAGGCTACCAATTTTCACTCAAATGAGCATTTCTCATCTTTTAATCCGTAAACAATTCTAGGTATATGCATCAAGCATGTTTTATTTACTTTTTCAGTAGTTGTAAGAGTGACTATTTCAAGAATGTAACCTTTGCAGCTGTCATAAGGCCAAGTTAGACTAATCAGATTAGATAAAGATAAGCTTCCTGCCTTGTATGTAACATCAATCGATTAGTGTCAGATTTGAACCCTTCTGGATGTGTGAAAATGGCAACAGCTTAGTTATCTAGGATTACACATACAGTCATAAAATCAGAGCGTAATGCTTTCAAATCTTACTCGCCACCCAAAGCACTTGTGCTATAGTGTCTTATTCAGTAAAGTGATAAAGCATGAAAAAACATGCTATGAAAAACTAAATCTAACCTATGATTGATCTTGCATTATGTGACCCAGTTCTTCTAGTTCTTCAGGCACAACAAAGACTAAAAGTTGCACTACCTCAGCATTTGTTGACTTGACCACTCTGACATCTTTATTGTGTTGAGGGAACCATAACATTACTCAAAATGCCAGTACCATTTGAGAAAAGCACACTACTCTTGTACTCATCTATAGATTTACAGATGAAATGATAGATAAGCTGATTCTTTTTCAGGCACAATCTTCAAAGACCACAGAAAGGCCACCTGTAAAGTTGATAGAGAAGACCTCTACTTATCTCTCTACATTAACACTTGTAAGACCTTACTAGATTAAAGGGATGAGCACTCTCTGCTAAACACCACTTTAGTTTTCACCCCACATTCACACATTTCTCATTACGTCACAGTCAGATTACAGGTTCAACAAAGTCACCTTCAGTCAGCAAAGTCGCTATTTTGTACATGAGAAAAACGTCTTCATTTCCTTGGATAAAGTCAGCACAAGCACAAGCTCTGTTTCTTTAGCAGCACAACTGTCATGGTAGACGGCAACTTTAGCTTGTCTCTGTATAAACTGCAGCCTCTTTTAAAGTTCCCTACCATGATATTATAAGGCAAATGAGTAAGTGCTTACATGCTGTTTAAGACTTGGGACGAGCGGTGAGAAGCCCCAAGCCGGTGATTACTGAGCTCTAAAGCACATCTGCACTCCAGCTCAGCAAAGAATCACGTGAACACAGTGTGTGTGGCGAACAGGGGGAAAAAAAAATCACACAGGAGCAAAGGAGAGCCCTCAGGCATCTAACTAATTCAATAGAATCACAATCTGAGTAATTATAGTCTGCTTATGTGAATTATGTGTGTTTAAAATGGGGTAAGAAATGGGTAAAGAAGACATGTTAATTTCGGAACTGGGATCAAAAGAAGAAAAGAGCCAAGCAGCAATGACAGGGCGGAACATTGGTTGAATTTCTCTATGTTTACTTTCAAATGACTGTATTTCCCAGCACAGTGGAGTTTTCTTATTTAAAAAAATTACTATCACTGAATTGGACCTGGACTATTTACAAACACTCTTATTAGTGATAGCATATATGGATAACTCTCTTCATGTACAGCTCATTAGAATCACAATGTGTCAATAGCCTGAGGTCACGCAGCCCTTGTTTACCCACACTAATTGCCTTTGAACAACCTACTGACACCCTCTGAGCATGTCTATGGAACAGAGAAGAGGTGG